GTTACAGTACATTGTCAATATTTCACTTGCTTGATTCACTCCTGTTTCCCCAGAACCAACCATTACTCCCTGTTCCTAGGGCAAAGTGTTCTAGACCAGTCACATGACTTTCCCAGTCCTAGAAGGCTTTTGTGTTTCCACTGTACATAGGGGTAGGCATATCTAAAACATAAATACAAAAGTATGTTCCAAAGTGCCAGGTAAGACAGAGGCCAGCCAGATGATTTGAAATAGACTGACATGAGCATTAAAAAACTTGTGACAACAGAGATATAAAAAAGTTCTTGAGCAAGAGGGTTAAGTTCAAGGCCAGCATGGTCTGCATAGTGAAAAGAGTCTAAAATACAGACAGACAGACAGACACACACACACACACACACACAAACACACACACGATGACAGACAGAAAGACACACACACACACACACACACACACACACAGAGTAACATTAATTAAAGATTCAAGTGAGAAAATGGTAGGCCTTTCTGACCTCACCCTAGAAGCCTCCTCTGGGTATGGACAACATCTCTTCTTTTGGACTAAATGGCCTCTCCCTTCCTTCTCAACTGAGTCAGACATTCCCTGAGTCAGGACTTCTCACTGCTACTTTTTAATGGGAAAGAAGCCATATTTATAGCTCATGAATAAAACATTAGCCAACTCTGCTAAGCACTGACAGAGACCTAAAGTTAACTGTTATCCTGGGACCAACCTACTTTGTTCACATAAACTGTGACTGCTGATTCAAGAGGGATGGCTGGCCAGTTTGGTTTGCATTGAAAGAGTGATGAGAAGAAATAGCCTCCAAAGAGCTAGGTCACTGCTGGGAGCTACTGAGATTAGTCACATTTCGGAGATAAGACAGATGGAGTTGAAGAAGAAGGTAAGACTCAATGAGCATCTTCTCTGTGCTGCTGCTTTATACACTGGTCTCTACAACAACACAGTGGACAAAATACTATTGTGTGTCAATTTTGCAGATGTACATATCAAAACTCTGATGTGTTAAGTGACTTCTTTCAAGTGCAGAGGAAGGATTTGACCTCCTATTAATCTGGCTCCAGAAGTGTACTTGTTCTGTTATACAGTGTTGTTTCTCTGATTTTATAGAGAGCAGGAGGAAGTCCAGCAGTGAAAGATGGCCACTCAAGGTGTACTGCGTTCTTAACAAGATGGTTAAAATGTGTGTCCATGAAAATACAGCTAGAACAAAGACCTGTGAATAAAGGTTGAAAACAAGAAGCGTTTTCACTGAGAGAAAATAGTCGTTCCACATTTTAAGCACTGTCAGGAAAAGAAGGGTTAAATGTCATGTCTACCGTGCCTAAGAGCTCAGGATGAATGGTTGAGACTTGTGGTTATGGAGGTCAAGCCCTACCCCCAGCCTAACTTGAACATTCTGTGTGTATAGACAGATGCATGTAGGATACTTTGTCTACTTCAAATATAGGCCAATTATTAATGTATATAAGAATGTTCAGTATATGATATATACTCAAGAAATGTGGTAAATGAATTAAAAATCTGACCTAACAAAAAGAAAACAGGTACTGTATATTCTAGGTACTGAATTATCCATCTATAGGTGTTTGGAGACAAAGGTCTTGCATGGATTCTTATCCTTGGTGGACAGTTATAAAATAGCTAAGTAATCTGCTTTCTAGGTGCCAGGCAGTACAAGTACTAAACAATTCTCATCTCATTTCACTGTTTCACCAAAATAGAAACAGGTTTTCTGAGGTTAGGGCATGCTCTGTGTTGCAAATGTTAAATGGTAGTGCTTAGATTCAAGACCTGGGCTTTCATTAACTTTATGCTCCACAGCCTGGCTTCCGTAGATAATTACCAGGTCCCTTTCCAGCCATGATATTACACATTCCGTGTCTAAATCTAATATCTATATTGGAGGTTAGTATCATGAGCAAAGGAGATGTTCTTCCCAAATAAGCACCAGTTTCCATGGAAATTGTATCTAAGGCTATTGAGTATCATGGCAGTTACGATTCAAGCTAAAACCTGTCCTGTTAATGACAAGACAAAATCCAAACTCCTTAACGTGGTATTTAATATGTAATTGACCCCCAATATCTGTGAAGAATAGCTCCTAGAACTCCTTGCAAACACCAAAAGCTACAGATGCCCAAGTTGCTTATAGAAAATGGCTTAATCTTTAGATAACTTACATATCTCCTTCCACATACTTAAATCATCTCTGGCTTACCTACATCCTAATGTGATGTAAGTGCTGTGTAAATAGTTGTTACACGATATGGTTTATAGAATAAGGACAAGAAAATGGCTTCTGATCCAAAGTCAACGTGAATCTATAGATCAGAACCCATGGGTACACATAGCTGACTGTGTTTTATAGTCCAAATGTATCTATTATTTTTCCACAATGTCTATTTCTTCCTCGTTATTAGTATCGCCCCACATTTAATCACATTCCATCTCTTTCTTGGTTTTATTTTTCTTGTTAGTTGTTCAATTTTTTTTGAGACAGAGTCCCACTTCGTAGCCCAAGTTGTCTTTGAATCTATGCAGTTCTGCCTTGGCCTTCTTACTGCGGGGATTACAAACGTGCACCACTACACCTAGCTTTATCTCCATCATACTGATTGTCCACTGCACCATCCATCCATCTACCAACTACAAGTTAGAGATGTGGCTCTTCCCAAGAGCAATACCCTGCCCATATCTATCTTACTGTCTTATGAAAGGGGACAAATATATAAACCTAATTCCTGTTTATTGTGCAGGATGAGCTCAAAGTACTTCATCTTCCAGGAAGCCACCTCTGAGTATTACTGTGTTCCCTCTTTACCTCCTCTGCCTTTCACCCTTATGGTACTGAAGCCCATACCATAATTCATATATAACAGCCTCATTTCGGGTGGAAGTTGTGTTATAAAGTCAGTGTGACAGGACAGAGTACTCAAAACTGCCTTTATAAATCCGGTGGAAAATTGTACCACTTGGGAAACCAACTACTATTTCTCAACAGGCCCCTCACAGCCTTCAGCTTGAACTGGCTTGCCGTTCCTGTGGTTAAAGTCCCAGAGAAGAAGTTTTCATTTAGAGCCAAGATGCCTAGTATAGTCACATTCATTTTGAGATGTTCACAGAATGAAAGCCACAAGAATAGACCAACTTAGAGTACCACAGAGGTGCCCTGCCACCTCAGCTGTCATTCTGGGCCTGTGCTCACTGAACGGCTAGTGTGAGCCACTGCCAGGGCCATCCATATTATTTTCCCTTTCACATAAGCACATGCAGAATACAGGTCCACTGACCCACCAGTGCTGTCACTCAGCTCATTCAAACAGACACTAAACTAGGAATTCCTAGAACACATGAATTGTGTCAAGCATGACACAGCTGGAGCCTGATTGAACAGGACCCTTCAGCTACCCCTCGGAGTACAAGATGTTCCACGATGCTCCCGTCTACTCTACCATTTCTGTGTTGTTTACATTCTGACTCTATGTAACTCTCTTGTCCCACGAACAGGCAGGTTATTTCACACCTTCTGCTTTCTGCCTTTAGAACTTCTTCCCATGCCACTCAGCACACATTCACCTTAAACACCATTTCATTTCCTTTGCAATGATGGATTGATTGGATTAATCACTATTTACGCTCCTTCCCTCAATCCTCATCCAGAGTGTGTGAGCCTACAGACAGTCTTTCCAGTCTGACTCTGGATTTGGCCATGAGGTGTTTTCAGCAGCTGAATATCAGTAAACATAATATGGTAAAGGCTGGAAAAGCATCAGTACTTAAGCTATTGGGCTTGACTTGTTTATCTTCTGTCACAGACAGTGACAAGTCTAAGTGTCCAATCATCCCAGCCTCAGGGCAATTCTAGATCAGCTAACTTCAGGATGACCCTCAGACAACTTTAGTGAGCAACTTTAGTGACTATCAGTAAGGTTACCTAGACTGTTTGCAAACATGTGAGCAAGTCCAGAGGACCCTAGCCCAGATCAGCTCTTCCCAAGGACTCGTGTTACTGAAGTTTTGTTTTTGCTAAGTATTATTAATGTAGCAATGGATGATACTTCAAAAACTTCCAGGTCCCTCCCCAGCAAAGGTGACTGCTCTCTCACTGACGCAACCTCTGAATCGTGTGCTTCCTCTATTGCAAACTTAACACACTCCACTCTCTGAAGATGGGGAGAATTAAAAACTAATATGGTTATTTGTTTTAGCTTGCTTCGTCTCCCAAGTCTATTCTTGCCAAGAAGAACACTTTTGTGAGGGAAGTGAGGCATAGTGGAAATAGTCTGGGCCTCTCTGGGTTGGCATCATGGGTCAGCAAGTGAAACAGTTCCTGGACCCGTACACCTAGGGCTGTGAATGAAGTCTGAAGATGGGGAGAATTAAAAACTAATATGGTTATTTGTTTTAGCTTGCTTCGTCTCCCAAGTCTATTCTTGCCAAGAAGAACACTTTTGTGAGGGAAGTGAGGCATAGTGGAAATAGTCTGGGCCTCTCTGGGTTGGCATCACGGGTCAGCAAGTGAGACAGTTCCTGGACCCGTACACCTAGGGCTGTGAATGAAACCCCAGCAGTGCCTCCGTAGCCTCCCCCGCCAGCCCCAGAGCTCCCCAGAGGTGCAAACCTACAGAAACGAGGCAGCTTGATGCCTGCGGTAACTCACTGCATGCCGCTTCAAAGGGCTCAAGGGATGCTTTTCGGTTGACTGAATTAATGGATTGACCCTTCCATGGCAAAACCCTGAGAAGGAAACTGCCAGAAATAGAGCATCGTTTAACCCATTTCCAACTCCTAATACCACAACTGCCCAGAACATTCTTTAACCTCTCATTTGGTTTATAACTATTAAGGCCAATGTTTCAATTTACTAAATCCATTTGTGCAATTAAAAAGTACCAAGTACTTCGGAGGATTATTTTCATATCATCACAATCATTAAGTGTATTTTATTCCATCTTTCACTTCAAACACCGAAACTGGGAGAGGAACATGTACTCACCTGCCTAGAGACAGGTGACCCGTCTTCACAGACACTGCAAGAGCAAGAGACAAAGTGAAACGGAAGTGTTGGCAGCTGCCTGGTTAAGGTGAGTGAAGTTTCTGCCCTGGTACCCGGAGGCCCACCAACCCCTAAACTGCAGCGCGTACCCACTACTTCATGATGCCGTTTAAGTGGGGACCTCTGTAGGTTCCACCTCGTAATTGCTTGTTTCTACCACAGAGCCTGGCAGAGAGGAGAAATGTTCAATGTGTGGTCCAAATAACACTCAGGTTTACTGAGCATGCACTGATGGGTCAAACATGGTTTAACTGCTTTCTGGACATTACCCAATTATTTCATGTGATTAGAGTATCACTGCTCCCATTTCACAGAATAAGAAAAAGAGTCTCAGTGATGCCTGTGCTCAAACTTAAAACAGCTACCAGAAAAGAACTGAGCTCTACAAAGCCTGTCTATTGTAAGAGATTTGGTGTTTTGTTCTATGCCCTCTGACAACTGTCTACCCTTTCAGGGAGATAGTTTGAGGTCTGAGTTACTAATATTTATGAAAATCACACTTAGCCTTCTCTAATACGGAGATGCTCTCGTCACCAAAATAGACTTATAAAAGCTTTGGCTCTGCATGCAGAATTTTCTTTTAGGATAATGCTGGGGATGACTTGTAGTGCCAGTTCTCAACTTGTGGCCCCTGGGCTAGCACCCAGTTACTTGGCAAATTCTCAGGCTCCTTCCCAGACCAACTGTATGAGAAGCTCTAGGAATGAGTCCTAACAAGTCCTTTAGGTGATTCTGATGCAGGCGCCAGTTTGAGAGAAATTCAGCTGTGAGTTTGCCCAAAGCAGACAAATGAACAATCCAAGACTGTATTAGCTATGTTGACATACCATCTGCCGGTGCTGATGGCCACAGTAAAATAAACGTTAGTTAGCACAGCACTGTCATTACCCCAAAGTGCCGGTGCTGATGGCCACAGTAAAATAAACGTTAGTTAGCACAGCACTGTGCATTACCCCAAAGTGTGCGTGTGTGTGTGTGTGTGCGTGCGTGCGTGCGTGTGTGTGTGTGTGCGTGTGTGTGTGTGTGCGTGTGTGCGTGTGTGTGTGTGCGTGCGTGCGTGCATGTGTGTGTGTGTGTGTGTGTGTGTGTGTGTGTGTATTCCCCTCATGTTTCATTACAGTAAATGCAAGTAAAAGTGTTTACAAAGTCAGGAAGATGTAGTTGGAATGAGAACAAAAAGGACCAGAAGTATTCCTTTAAAAAGACAAAAGAATACAGAAAAATGGCTTCCCGGGAAGTTTCATGCCCTGCACAGGACCAAAGGATGTAGCTCACAGGGCCTGAGAGGACTCCAAGGTGTTTCAGGTTGAAGTCACACTGACTTCCTCCCTTCCCTTCTTCCTCCTGCTCCTGCATTGACTGTGTTCACAACAGAGATTTTGCAGCAACCAAAAAAGTTTGCTGCCTCCTTGCTCAGAGACTTCTCATTTTCTTCCTCTTGGACAGTTTCCTGGTGATGCAATACAGGGCTCTCAGGGGAAATGGGCTGCCCCAGCAGTGATATGGGGTCAATTCTAGCACATGTGTCATTTCATGGGTCCGCTGCCATAGATATATGGCATGATAGCATGGTAGATGCCCGGTCTCTTGGAAAAGCAGTGAGCGGCCTTGTTACCTGAGAGTTGGGTAGAGAGGGAGGGAGGGGGCATAGGGCACCAGAACTTGACCCTGACTCCAGCTGGTGCATGTGGGCTCTGTGCATTCTCTTACCTTCTTTTGGGGTCTTGGCAATAGTGGCTGGTTGCCTGTGGAAGGCCTGTAGGTTCACGGCTGGGGGCTTCAAAGGCTTTGGGGGAGGCAGGCCGAGGGTCTCAATGGAAGGCAGGGGCTTTGTTTTGGGGAGCTGGGGATGCTGCTTCTGTTCTGAGCACAGATAGGGAAGCATGCAGTTTGTTATTACCTTTTGTCATTTGTTCAGTAAAATTGACTGGTTTTCTTGCCTCGGTCTCCCTCCCTTCTGATTATTCTCCAACCAGTAGTGAGAAAACTGATTTAAATAGACCTGCTCACATCACCATCCTGCAGCTGCAACAGAGTCACAATATGACCCACTCACTCTGTCGTCTGCCATTTCAGTACAATGTGGGCTCATGTTTCCAGATCCTTCTCTCAACACATGGCACCGTCCTACCTCTCCAACCTTCAGGATACTCATCTTCCACTCACACCACTGGCTTCTCAGTGTTCTACAGTTGTTTTTTAAAGCCTTCAAAGGCTCTCCTGTCTCCATGACGTTTTCATATCCTTCCTGGCTATGGAATGCTGTTCCCTCTCTTAAAAACTTCTTGATTTCTCCTAGAATCAAGACCAGAATGAACCACTCTGCAATTTGTACTCTCTAGTGTTTGTATTGTATTGTAATACTGTTGTGCCCATGTCATGGTGCATCAGAGAAGCTGATCTGTGGTTCCTCTGGGGATTCAGCATCACTGCTCTCCAAACACTGTGCACGGGGGTCTATGTCGAAGGGGAGAGACTGCGATTACTCGCTGAAAGGACTCCTCAAGTATGGGTAAGCAAAGAGTAAGACGTTATAAAGAGGAGTAAGTCTGATCCCTGACTTCCAGGGCTCTCGCTTCAAAGCTGATTTCATGGTTCCTGGAATCTATGAGTTTGATACCTTGGGATTTCCTATAGTCTCAATAGTACACATTTTCTGCCTTCTGTACTCATGAGCACAATTCCAATAGGAATTCTATTGCTATATATGAAAATCATATGCACCTATTATACTGAAAGGAACACAAAATTTTATATAACTGGGATACCATTTACATAATACAGTAGTTGACTCTACAGGCAAGCTATTCTAAAACTAAAGAAGTAGACAGGGTTTCACAAGTGTGTCTGGAGTGTTCCCTGTGCTGTTCTCTCAGAACATCCCTTCCAGCATGAGCCACAGCCCTAGAACCTCAACACCAAATTCTCCTCTTAGGCTTTAATGATCAGTCAGTTCAAATGTCAGAACGTCTAGTCTTCATCAACCTAGGGAGAACGCATAGTGAAAATGAAGTACCACTTACTAATCAGAGTCTTCATTTTTCCAGGCCTCGTGCTAAGTGTACAGTGTTATCTCATTTAACTCTGTCCTCAGTTTCCCCCGATAAGCAGCCCATTTTCCTTGCTTTCTCCCATACACTTTTCTTACCATCTATCTTGGTTTTCTATCCCCTTTTCAGTAACTATTTACTGTTTTTTGGTCATTGTTGTAAGATCTGGGCTAGAACTAAGAACAGAAAAAAGCATAGTCCTGCCTTTAAGAAATTTTATTATAATAAGAAGAGACAAATGATAAAAAGCAACAAATAAACAGAGAGCACCTGAGGTCTATTTGGTAAGCTGGTAATCTAGGGGAAGGGAGAGGAGTGGAAAAGCTAGAGACTACAAGGTCCAGCATGCAAGGCCATGAAGGCTGTAAGTACTTTAGGGTCTATTCTAAGTACAAAGAGAAGTCCTGTAGGGTTGCAAATAAGTGACGCATTCATCAACACATCCAATTAGTCACTCAATAAATATATTTTGAGGATTTCATTAATCTGGCTCTGTTCTTTTGGGGGTATGATGGTAAGGAAGACAATCTTTATCTTCTTAACAATTTACAACTCATGGAGGTAAACAGATGTATAACAATGTACTGTGTAGGGGTAAGTGACATGAAGAAAACCAAAACAGCCTAAGAGGGCACAGGTAACAGGAATATCATAATTATTTTAGACAGAATGACTAACATGGTCCACTCAGAGCAGGGGATATAGGAATAGACTTTGAAAGAGGAAGAGATCAGCAGAACTTCATAGACCTGGCAGAAGAGTCTTCCAAGCAGAAGGACTGATTGGAGCAAAGACCTGGGATAGAAGCAGCTTGTTATATCTAAGGACTAATCAGACAATGAATTAACAAATGAGGAAAAAGAGGTAGGTAACCACCATATCACACGAGGCATTGTTAGATGCCTGAGCAGACTGGGAGAAGCTGAGAGATTGGCTCTGATCTGTGCTAGTTTAGAGAGGCTCACTCTGCCTGCAGGGAGGAGAACAGAAAACAAAGGGGTAGGAAAGTGGAAGCAGACAGGCAAGCTGGAGATGGCCCAGGCAGACGACTGGGGGAGGAGCAAGAGTGACTGACAGAGACAGAGGTTGAGGGGTTCCACACATACTTTGATGCTATAACCAGAACTACCTGATGGATGGATTCAAAGCAAAGAGTAAGGAAGACAGAAGATTGGAGCATCCCTAGGTTTCTGGCCTGAAAAATGAAGGGGAGGATGGTGCTATGTTTACAACCAAGAAGGCTGTAAAAGAGCAGACCAGGGTCTAAGAAGTTTGTAGATCACCTATGTTTATGTGGATTGCAATAGGTAGAGATAGAATTTAAATTTGTTTGCCCAAGTCATCTTGCAATACAATTCTAGGTTGAGCCCTGTGCCCAGACTTGAGGCTACCACTTATCAGATAAGCCTGCCATGGCCATGTTTTGTCTCCATTGCTCAGATCATGTCTACGATCATTCTAACTCAGCAGGCTTGAAATGCAAAAACCACAATGGCCTCTCCCCCAGTCCCACAGGGATTCAGTTTCTTACCTGCGATGGCGCTGGTAACCTCACACTCATAAACAGGCTGGCAGGGACTACTTCCCCGGCTCCTATCTGGGCCAGGATTTCCTTTGCTCTTTCTGCCATGCTGAGGAAGTGGGGAGGGGATGTCCTCAGAGGCCACAGATGACTTTTTCTGGTCCATCAAATGTTTCTGTGGAAGAAGGGTCTGGACTCCTGTTGTTTCCAGATTTTTCTTTGTTTTTTCCTGAGTAAGTCCTGTGGTTTTCTGCCCTTTCAGATGAACGGTCTTATTCTCAGATTTGGCAAGGAGTAGAGCTGGGGACATCTCACGTGTTTGAGATGAAACTTTCTCCCAGTTCCAGAGCTTGTGTCTAAAGCTGCCAGCTGCCATCCCTTTCTCCTCATCGGATGTCTCCTTTCTTGACCCTTTCACGTCCAACAGCACAGAAGCTTCCTGAGTATATCTTGCAGGATATACAGCAGATTTTTCTGGTGGAGGTCCTGGGGAACTTGAACTCTTCTGAATTTTATTTCTCTGGGCCAAGTTCATTTTCTGGGTTTCAATAGTCTGGGACTTCCCATTGGAACAATACAACAGTGGCTGATTGTGGTTAGATGAAAAGTACTTCCCATTGGGCAAAATCTGAGTTGACTGCGTGCATGCTGGGTCACCCCTTCGAGAAACACCAGCTGGAAATTTAATAGGTCCTGGAAGAGGTGAGGCATCGAACTTTTGAAATTTGGCTCGAAGCTCCTTGAAGTTTTTTACTCCTTCCTGAAGCACAAAGGGGAACAGAAGTGTTAGTTAATCTGGGAAAATAGCCAGCACAATCAGTTGGCTTCACTATGCATGTCTCTAATGGCTGATGTGTTGCAACTGCTTCCCAGTTGAGCAACGTTAGCCGTTGTTGCTACTGTCTACGTGAGATGGGGTGAAACAATTCTCCCTTTTAAACTCTTCAGCTATGTTTGGTGTTCTCATAGCACACACAGAATACTTACAGACAGAACTAACAATTGCTGATAATACCTTTTGAAGCAAACTTTTTTTTTTTTGGTCTTTTTGAGACAGGGTCTCCCTGTAGCCCCCGCTGTCCTGGACTCACTATG